TGTAATAATACTGATTATTTTATTTAATTATAATCTGGAATTACACTTATCACATTTTTCAAAATCATAATATTTGTAGTTAATTTCTGTAAAATTAAATTTTAAGTCAATTTACTGTACTCCAAATGAACTTATAAAATCAACTTTATATAGGGATGTAATGATTACACTCTTTAATTACCAATATAAATTATTTTAATTACATAATATAACAATTATATAATGTTAATTTAACTAACAAGTTCACAAATTGATGAGAATCTTTATCGAATAATACTACTTTGTGTAAATATTTAGCGATAAAATGTAATACCATTATAAACTTCTATGAAATGAGTTTATGGATTTAAATTATAACTAATACTAATATATTTTTCCTCAATAAATACGTTTAGATTTATATAAAAACTAAAAACAATGCCTCAAGAGAATGCCTATTTATTTAAATTTTTACGGCTCCTAGCGAAGGCCTCTGTAAATGTGAGGCCTGTGTTAAATATGATTGTGATTGTCAGGACATAAATACTTACATACACATTCTTATAGTGAATTCCGTATTAATCTTTAATGATAAGACAAGTCTATAAGACTTATTATCTGGAATAAAATCATTTATTTATGTAGCTGATGCAATGTATGGATTTCTTTCTTCTTGCAGCATTGTACTGTATGATGTCTGATTATACACAATTTTACAAAGAAAGCTTTGATTTTTGAAAGAAAAATTCAATTTTTGATCTTAATAAATCAACTTTATTAGCAGAGACACGTTTAAAAGGAAATATATAGGCTATTTTTAAATTTCTTCTGGTTAATCATAAGTAGGAACAGTTAAGTAAGCAAACTCTCGGTTGCGAATCTTTCGTCTCCGGTAGAAACTCGGGTGTGACTCTGGTTTTTTTTTCTCTCCATTCAATTCAAATTTTCCAAAAATACTATCCTCACACTTCCCTCGGACATCTTCCACAAACCTTTGTTGGTGCCAGTCGAACTCTTCTCGTTTCGATTGGATCCTCGAACTGTCATCAACAGGGGTCATCCGGAAATCGATCCCCTTTTTGGAAAAGTTTTCTCTCGTCTGTCTTTCCTTCTATTGATATATTTATTGTTTCAATACGAATAGATTAACAGAATCAGATTAGATTTTGTGTCTCACAAATTTAACTTTAACAACGAAATTTTTTTTTTTTAAATCTTAAAGCTGTTTTAAAGTATCATAAAGGAGTAAAACATCACTGATTGTTTCCTTGAATATTAGAGAGGTTGCGGCCGACGTTTTCGCGATGAAAACGTCGGCCGTAACCTCTCTATTAAGTTTAATACCGCCGCAACGCTTGAGTAAATACAGTAATTTATGAGCTTTATATTTATTTTTGGCTACTTGGTTAGAAATAAATATGAAACTTCTTACGGTACCAGCTTATCATTCTGACAAACAAGGTTTTAAATTCGACTTAATACAGAAATTTTCGGGGTTACGTTGGGTCCCGTTCCTCACCACTCGGTCACCTCCATTAGTCAAACCCTTTAAAATGGCCGTCTTAGAGTCTTTAAGAAGATAATGTTTAAATTATTAAGCATAAAATGTTTGGAAAATATGAACAATATCTATTATGTATTTTCCAAAATTACTACACTTCAAAATTTTTTGTAATTATTATTATGAAATAAAAAATGAAATCTCGATTCTAATAATTACATTTTTACTATTTTAATGTAAACTATTTATATCTTATCATTTTATTTATCTAAAATATTGAAAATTATGTGCATGAAATTATCATAAAATTTTTTTTTTTTTAAAAAAATATTTAATCATTTAACAAAAGCTTTATGCTAAAAATATATTTATAGAATTGTTCTGAATTAATACTGAAAGAGGGTTTACAATTGAATTTTAGGAAATAAAATTGGGATTGATTTATTTGGTAGAATAGACATTAATGACAAAATATTAACTTTAGTGATGTTACATTCTTGAATATTTTTTCTAATTAGCATTTATCATAGAGTGATGGCCGGGTAGTGAGGGGTGGGGCCCGACATATCCGGACGAATTACCCCCGAAATTCTGGGGATTTTTCAATCCGTCTGGATTCGATCCTCGGAGCGGTAGGCTGCCAGGGAAGTTTGGATATTAGAAGTATTGATACTATTATATTTTAATGGTTAAAGTTCAAGGGGATGGGGAAATATAGGAGATAATATCTCGAATGGGATCGGACTTATGATTTTACCTGTTATTAGCATTTACAATTTTTTATAAAACTCATCTCTACCCTCAAAATTAAGCTTTTTTTTTTTTGTATTTTATAATAATTAATATTATTTTTTAAAATAAAATCTCATAACAAATGGCACCAGATACAATTTTAATTTTTTCACTAATAAAGTTACTCCGATTTTAATTGTCTCCGGATGAAAGAATATTTTCGGAAATTATAAATTACAAAATTTTAAAATTTCGTGCATGAAGTTTTTCATTCAAATAAATATACATTAATATATAAAGCGTTTTTAAAGGTATTTACAAATTTTAATGCGATATTCTTGAGTTTCTACTTATACTATAATCTTTCATTGAATAAGAATGGAACTGATGTTTATTAATCTACATATGCTAAGGAAAATAGTTTCGTGTTCATTATGAAGTAGAATATAATGTATAAAAACATATTAGAAAATTATATGCGAGTGATATGCATTAAAGCACATCGGCTCCATTAGTATTCTGGAATATACCTTAAATATAAAATACTTTTTTAAAGTTTATATAACTAATTTTTTATTTAATAATATCCTTACTTTTAGGATGGTAGCAAGTTTTCAGAACTTGTAACTGATTTTTTAAAGCGCTTGATCACGTAGGGTTAATGAAAAGCAAGTTTTAGGTAACTTTTCATTAAATAGTGATTTGAAGTGTGGGCAGATTTTGGTTGACAGACGGAGTGAAAGGAGAGAAAATCCACCTGCAATATAAGTTAAGCCCAATTGTGCCCTTGTAGAGCATCGCCGATGTCTTTATAGAGCATCGGTTGAGAAACGTTGACTATATACTGACTGACATTTCGTAAACAGAGCACTCTCCTACAGTACGAAGAATTCGATGTCCGCATGTACAGGTCTGTCTACAAGAAGATGGGGAAAGATCCCCATCTTCTTGTAGGGTCTATAGAAAACTCAAGGGCATGAAACGGTTTCTACCCTATAAAATCATTATTATTTTTACTAATAGAAAATAAGATGTTTAAGATTACTTTTTATTAATTAACATAGAAACATTTCATGTATTTAATTTGTTCAAAAATACAATGGCTAAAGGGACCCGCTCTATCTGGAGCCCTCATACAAACTGTAGACGGGCGTGTCGATATACAATATATTCTTGAACTGTATTTCTTAACAATTTAATTTACGCACTGAAGATTTATCAAAAATATATTAGGAATAACGAACCGATAGATACATAAATTTATAAAAATACCTGATTGAAAATTTGTTTTTGATTCTTCGCTCTGTGGGCACTAAGATGGCCTTTTCTCAGGCCCATCGTATGGCGGCTGGATGATGAGGATCGGGGCCTTATCAGGGACAGACCACCCCCCGAAAAACTCCTGGGATTTTTCAACCCCGACCGGAATATTTTCTCAATATCCAACACTTCGAAGAATAAATGATTTAAATTATTGTAGTTATAAATCCATTCAAACTTCTAATGTTCGCATAAATCATTAAAGATAAATTAATGAATTGTGATTTTCACAAACTATAACAATAAATTCTGGGATACTCTTGACTTATGGCAATTAGAATGAATAAAATCCTAGAGAAAAACCTCTATGTTACATGCAGAATACTGGATTGAATAACATTTTATCTCATTAATACTAATTAATTGGTTTAATCTAAAATATATTAAAAATACAGCATTAAAATTTGGAAAACATTTTTAAAAAATGAATTATTTTGCAATAGTAGTATGATAAATATTTCTTATAACATTTAAAGTACTTGACTCTGGCTGAATTTCATAACTCATCAATTTTTTCCTTAAAGGAAATTATCAATTTTCTATTTATCAAATATCAGAACATTTCACTATAACGATGTCACTTATATTTTTGAACTAAAGTATCACAAGCATTAAATTCCTTTATCCCAAAATTGACTACATAAGATATTTGAATTACAAGATCTAATAAGCTGGAAGATTATACAGATTAAATATTACAGATCCACAACACATTACATTTATTCTAAGTCATATTCTGCTCTATTTATGTACTCTACTATGTAATATCATTTTCCAACTTAATGAATCTGGAACTAATAATCCAAATAAATATAAACTAAAATTAATACCCTCTACTCTATCTGAGTATCTATTTCATTTAAATATCTCTCTCTCAAATACTTTTAGCTACTACTAAAAGTCCATCTTCAGGGGTATACAGGTAAATTCTATGACTTACATTCATGAATCATAGTTTTATTATTTAAAATGTTTATTTGAATTTATTTGAATGAGAGAGACATGGGTCTGTTTTGATCACGACAAATCCAAATTTAAACAAATATTCTAAACTTTGGTGTTCCATAAATTTCAATTGGAATATATCCAAGTATCACCAAAGATACATGTTTAGTAATATTTAAAATTATTTGAATGTTTGAGAGATATTAAATGAAGTGGATACTGTAATGAAGCAGAAGTGCTATTGTTAACTTTTGATACTAAAGTTCAGTTATTATGTAAATATATATTGGGATCAAATCTGGATAGGCTGAAAAACTCAGCAATATTTTGGGGTTGTTCATTCTGGATAATTAACCTCTTCACTCACCACCTGGCCAAACCCATAACAGGTTTACTAAAAAAAGCCCTCTTAGTCTCCTCTAGGCAGACAGAATTTAAAAAAAAGAAAAAAAGGTGTGTATATATACACACAAAGAAAAATACTCTACAACTTTCTATAACAACTTTAATCTCTTAATTTTTAATATTTTATCACAAATCAAAAAAAAAAAATTACTTTTTAAAATATGTGATTTGACAATTATACACTTAAAGTTAACAAATATTAAAGGCAATGTGAATAAATTCTTAACATTATATTACTTATAAATATCTTACTATGTAAAGAGTTATTTTAACAATGTTAAACATATGACATTTTATAATAATTAGCTATTGAGATTCAACATTATCTAAAATCAATAAATAGAATTTCATTATCTATAAAGGCTGTATATAAAAATGATTAAATTAATTCAATTTATATGTAAAATATTGAAAAAAGTGTGCCATTTGTAAAATATAAGTACATGTTAAAATAAATTTTTACATGGGAGCAAATAAATATACCTTAGATTTTAAGTAATCAATTATAGAATTACAAATTACTTTTCATTTAGGAACATATATCAAAAATATATCAGGAAAAATTGTCATATTCATGGCAACTATTTTTTTTATCTACAAAAATTAAAAATATCATAGAATTGATGTTACTTTTTTCACATTTTATACAATTGTATGTGCTGTTCTATGTACAATGGTTTTTTTAAGTTAGTAGCATAAATAAACACTTATATACAAATAATTTCTTCATGACAGGTACTTATTTGAGTGACAATATATCTATTAGTACAATAAATGCAAGAACTTTGAATACTTTATGCTGTGAATAACCTTGTCGAAAGTAATGCAATGTGCAGTTTAGCCACCATAAATGTTTTGGTTTCTCAACAATATCTATTGGTGTAAATCAAATCTTGATTGGAATGATTAATTCATAAACAATGCAATTTATTCTCTCTTCTAAGTTAATCTAACTGAATGAGCTATGGTCAGAAATTTCTGATGTTATTGTGAAAGTTTCCAAGTTCAAGCATCAGATCTGATCATTAAATGTTGGCATATCACAGAAATTAAAACTATTCTAAAAATTTGAAATCATAGCTTGCTGGCAATTTAATCTAATCCATCCATTGTACAGAAAATATTTTTTTATTTGTCAAAAATTCAAATAAAAAAATGCAGCTGTGCTTTGTTTGAATCACAACAAAAAATACAACCATATTTAATTTCTTCTGTGATTATAATAATATACATTAATCAGGCATTTCAATAGAAAGTGCAGGAACAACTGCCCTAATTTCTGATTGTGTAAGATGTGTTTTCTTCTTGGAATGGATGTACTGTGGTTTCCTTGACATTGTTGTTCTTTCAGATGGTTCATTTTCTTCAGGTTCATTACTATGCAAACTGTATGATATATTTCCATATTCTTGTAGTAATGGACACACTCCTAGAAGAAACTGGCAAAAATCTTTGCGAATTCCAAACCACCCTAGAAATAAAAAAAAAAAAGATAATTAGAAAAAAAATAAAACTTAAAAAGTTTCTAGAAAATTTTCTGGTGACTTTTGTGTAAGTACGAACTTAAATGCTGTAATTAATAGAACTATTGAAGATAAAAAAAAATAAATCACCTTAGAATAAGATAAAAACAAACTGTTTTGACTCAAATCAGGAGAATAGTCTTTGTAAATGATGTAAAATTTTAAACAATGTCTCCAAAAATTTTACATTTCCCCTTTCCATTCTTAACTAAGATATCTACAATCACTTTTATAGTCTGTAAATTTAAAATGTTCAATTGACAAACATTAACTAACAAACAACATTTGAACATAAGACTTATTCATTTATTCTGAAACTAAACTGGATATACAGGGTAATTCACTTAAATATCTGCCCAGATCTAATAGTTCTTTCCATTACTGCACATGATGAATGCTTATTTAAGTGTTAAAATACATCATGTGGTGATGCTGGATATACTATTGATGCTTTTAGGCAGGGGCACATCTATATAGGGACTAATAGAGCTTGAGCCCCCAAAAATTGAATTATTCGGTTGTTCGGAAAGTAATTTCGGTTTTTTTTACCACTAGACGGATTAGTTGTATTTTTCCCGCCATTTTCATTCTAAACCGTATTATCATTATATATTTTGACAGCTAGCATTTTAAGGCTTATTTGTAAAAAATTTTGTTTGATTTCGTGCAATTGTTTATTTTTTTGTATCCCATCAAATACGGATCAAAAGCAGCATTTTTGGCATATTTTGCTCTTTTATTACCAAAAAGGTAAGAATACTGTTCAAATGAGAAAAAAATTGTGTAACGTGTATGGAGAAGATGTATTGACAGAACAACAGTGCCAAAACTGGTTTACAAAATTTCGTTCTGGCAATTTCAATATTGAAGATGCACTACATTCTGGATGGCCAGTTGAAGCCAATGAAAACGGTACTGAAATAAAGGCACTGATTGAAGCAAACTGCCGAATAACAACAAATGAAATTACTAAGAGATTAAATTTGTCAAATTGAACTGTTTATGATTACTTGAAACAAATTGGTTTAGTTTCAAAACTTGATATATGAGTTCCACATGTTCTTAAGGAAAGATGCTATCTTTGGTGGGATTTTAAGGAAATTATTTTTTAAGGGAATTTTTTTTTTTTTTTAGCTTTTACCAGACAATTTAACAATTGATTCGAAAGTGTACTGCCATCGAGTAAACAAATTGAGTAATATCATCAAACAGANGACCTGGGGTGGACCTACGCGTATGCCGCATCCAATTCCATCCGGGCCGTTAGCCGCCCGCTGGCTAGATATTTGGCCGCCCTCGCCCGATTACGCGAATCGCGACGAGATTTATAACTTAACCCAACCGATAAGAATTTACCGGTACGTTTTTACCATAGTTGCGTATAGTTGACGGGAGTTAAAAAATCCATTAAAATATTTGATATTTTTATTCCGCTCTCCGATTTTATATTACTGACAGATTTCGATGTTAAACCAATTTTGTATATCCCATCTTTAAGGGGATGTAGAAAAAAACGTGTACAATTCTTGTACAATGTTAAAAAATTAACCGTTACTTTGGCAGCGTCATTTACGACTAAATTGAATGAACGAGAGAGATGCACCAGCGTAAAATCGAAAGAATTTTACATAGGTTATTGCAGGTTTTTCTAATCCATTTATCTTTCTCTGTGGGTCGAGGGATGCCGCCGCCCGTTACCACTACGTATTTTAAGTCGTTCTAAATATTAGTTGTATAGGGTTTTAAAAAGTAACCCGAAAGACCGTTGGACACCGTGGGCCACGGTTTAAGCTTCTCCGTTTAGCGGCACGGCGGTTTCCGTAGAAAAGAGTTTATAGTTAGGTAAAGTCGGTAAACGGGTGATGAAGATAACGGAAGAAGCGCCGGCGGTTACTTTTATTTCTCCCCACTTGGAATAGCCGGAATTTACCAGTTGGTTGCGGCGATTTTAAGTAACGGTAAAGAAATCGGTCCGGCCATCGTCCGATTGACGGGAAAATCGAAAACCAAATGGGCGGATCTACATAGGGACTAATAGGGCTTATGCCTCGGGCACCCACAAAAATGAAATTACTATCATAAACTTTTAATACTTTTTCGTTAACAATGAGCACTAATGGTATTGTAAAAAATAGCTAATACAGTAGTCTATAATACTAAAAATTATCATCATTAATATTTGTTTTATTGTAATCGATGTAAAGATTCTTAATCTAACAACAAATGGGGCCCCGTTGGACTTCAGTAAGCTCTAGGCTCTGAAAAACCTAGATCTGCCTCTGCTTTTAGATGATTTCACAGGACAAAAAATCCAGAAGGGTCATCTGGGAAATGTGGTGGCTATAGAACAAGGCTGTATTGTCCAATACAACCTTGTTCCATGGTCACATTTCCCATAATGATATGGCAGTTTGGCAACCATTGGATATCACCATGGTGATATCCAATGGTTGCCAAACTGCTCTGTGAACCATTGATATGTCTATCTCAGAATGAGAAGGTGCACCATCTGGTGCAAAATCTGCTGTAGTTGCACCAATGGCAAGTCATCAAGCCATTCTCCACCAATGTGTTTAGGATATTCAGATATTTCTCACTCACTTATTCATGGTCACTATTCTTGGAATATGCTCTCCCCAGTGACATTTTGTAAATGAATTAATTTTTTGTCAGTGGATAAATATTTAAGTATTGATTATTTTAGCAACAGAACAAGCATGCACCACATGCATACCCAGGCAATGCTTGAAAGATCTTTAAGTAGACATCCTGTATATACAACATTAAATGTAAATTCCATATTCACATCATTCTTTGTTTTTAAGCTCATAATTCACATATCTGAAATTTAATATAATTATTTTTATCTTTAACATTAAAAGTTAAAATACTAAATTGTAGATTGAAAAAGTTGATTAGGTCTAAGGCAGGGTTTCCCAAAATTTTTCCCATGGTTTGGTTATTTTTTATACTTTTCATCACCTACAATGACCTATGAGTAAAATAAAACAGATTTGAATGTCCACACAGTTTTCATATATTCATCATTATTCTAAAAGAGGCTCATATGCAAATGTAAACAAATCAAACTAAAACTATTGGATTGTTTGGAAAGTAATTTCGTTTTTTCGTGGAAAAAAACACACTATTTTTATAATAAACAAATATTTTGTTGAAGTATTTATCGACCATTTTGGTCAAATACCTGTTGTCATCGTTTCTAGTACTGTAGTAGCATGATTTCACATTCGTAAAAGTTTTGATCATTGCTTACAAAAGACTGATCCAAGTGATTTTTGACATTGTCATTTCAAGTAAATGTCTTACAGTTAAAAAAAATTTGTATAGACCGGAACAAGTAATAATCTGAGTGCACTTGATCTGGCAAGTATGGTTGGTGCAATAGCATGTCCCATCTAAGTTATAACAGTTTCTGATGAGTTACCAAACTTGTGTGAAATTTGACATTATTGTGGTAAAACACTACACCTGTTTTGTTGATCAGTTCTGGCCTTTTGTTTGATGATATTACTCAATTTGTTTACTCGATGGCAGTACACTTTCGAATCAATTGTTAAATTGTCTGGTAAAAGCTAAAAAAAAAAAAAAATTCCCTTAAAAAATAATTTCCTTAAAATCCCACCAAAGATAGCATCTCTCCTTAAGAACATGTGGAACTCATATATCAAGTTTTGAAACTAAACCAATTTGTTTCAAGTAATCATAAACAGTTCAATTTGACAAATTTAATCTCTTAGTAATTTCATTTGTTGTTATTCGGCAGTTTGCTTCAATCAGTACCTTTATTTCAGTACCGTTTTCATTGGCTTCAACTGGCCATCCAGAATGTAGTGCATCTTCAATATTGAAATTGCCAAAACGAAATTTTGTAAACCAGTTTTGGCACTGTTGTTCTGTCAATACATCTTCTCCATACACATCTCACAATTTTTTTTCTCGCCTGAACAGCATTCTTACCTTTTTGGTAATAAAAGAGCAAATATGCCAAAAATGCTGCTTTTGATCTTCCATATTTGATGGGACACAAAAAATAAACAATAGCACAAAATCAAACAAAATTTTTTACAAATAAGCCTTAAAATGATAGCTGTCAAAATATATAATGATAATACGGTTTAGAATGAAAATGACAGAAAAAATACGATAATCTGTCTAGTGGTAAAAAAAAAAACAAAATTACTTTCCAAACAACCTAATAAATATTTTATTAATGACAAGTGTGATGCTGTTTCTTGTTAACTAGAAACTTCAGATTTGGAGATTGATTGCTTTTCTTAAAAAAATAAATAAAGAAACCAATTGGAAGTTGAACTGGATCTAAGAATAAAGTTATGTTGAAAATTCTGCTTCACACTTATAGGTCGTGACAAAATGTTATCATTTTTTCTTCTAAAACTGGGTATTCCTGATGACAAGACAACCAAAAATCCATTAATGGTATTCTGTTGAAGATGTCTTTCAGTGCCATATCAAATAACAGTTCAATTATAGACTCAATATCCGAATCCAGCAATTCTGTCTTCGATTCTATGTTCACCATAGAAGGGTTCCTTATCCATGCTTTGTTGCTGTTGATTTGGGGAAAATATTCCTCCTCCAGACTTGTCTTCAGTCCTAGCAGATGTTCCTTGATAGCAGCTAAAATCTCATCAGGCATGGAACTCATATTATACTCATTTTCTAATTCTGTTAGCTTCGTAATTTCCTGCTTCCACATGACAAAACCACAAATTGAGTTTTTCATTGCAGTTTCCACTTTCTCTTGCACTTTAAATACAGTTACATTGCTACCTTGTAATGTCAGATTTGAATTATTCAAAAAATTAAAAATGTTAGAATTGACATCATGAAACCTATCTTTAAATTCAAATATTACATCTGTAGACATTGGTCATGTTAGTCTAAGAACATTAAAACTTCTTCCTTCATTTCAATAAGTCTTCTTAAAACATTCCCTCTTGATAGCCATTACTTCTTGCAGTGTAAAATCAGATGTTCATGTTCACTACCTATTTTTTTGCAAAACGCAGAAAATATTCTTCAATCCAGTGGACAAGATTTTATAAAGTTTATAAATTTTACACACTCTTGCATAGTTGTAGTTAAAAGCAATGACATTTTTTTTTGATAGCCAATGCTTCTGTATGAATGCTACAATGCACCCATACAGTCTGGTGCTATGGCTTTGATCCATGGAAAAAGTCCAGGTGTAAGGAACCAAGTTCAAGTATTAGTTTTAGTTATTTTTTATTTTGCTTTTTATTCTATTTTGTTTGGGGCTTATGTTTTGTTAGGATGAAGGTTTCCTCACCACTCACCTTAGAAACTTAAAAATAGAAGAAAGAAAACCAACTCGCTGATGAAAAAAAGCGCCGTAGAAAAAACTCGCACACACTTGCACTCCCGAGCGGAAAAAAGTAAGTCCGCACCGAGAAAAAGGGGGGAAGACCCCACAAGCACAACTTAGGAACTTGCTAAACTTTAAAGAATAAAACATCCTGAAAAATTGTAAAAAAGAATAATGTAAAAGGTTAGCGAGAATTGTCGGAAAATAGGCTGCCAGGCAGAAAGGAAAAGTTTATTGTTCACCCGGACGGTGAGCCGATTCCCGGACTGTCCAGATGATAGCACTATCGTAGGCGTGATGCAAGTATAGATTAGGATGTTTCAAATTTTTACAAGATATTATTATTATTTATTGTGAAATTTTGCCGCCCCTAAAAAGTGCTGCCCGGGGCAGGCTGCCCCCACTATGGTATGCCACTGCATGACAGATATAGTTTCCATGCTAGAGGAATATGGAGACTGTTATTTCAGCACAACAAAGCACAAATGCATTCAATTAAATTATTCTTGTACCAGCTGAAACAGAAGGTGTACAGAAATGAGTGGTCTGTTAAAAATTGAGAACTGAAACAATGCATTAAGTCCATCCAAGTTCTGTCAATTTAATTCAGAGCACTTTCAAATTCTGATGGCTGGTCAAAACCATACTCAGAAAAGCCTCCAACTATTGATCAGATTCCATAATTTAGAGACAGAAGAAACTGTGTCAATTTTTGTTCCTGGATAATTATGTAAAAATAAAGAAGTTTGATTTATTTTTGTGTAAAGGTTTTGTTTACACAACCTTATGGTATCATTTTTAAGCCTCTTTTTATACCTTACAAGTTAGTAGATTATACATACATACATACACATTACTGTGAATAACCGATATCTGGCGAATGTCAACATTCTCCGGTGAATGTCAGCTTTCACAGTCATTTCGAGTATGTACAAAATATTTGCTAAATATCATTATTTCTCACTTACACCGGCAAATGTCAACATTCAGCATGCACTGATAGTGAATGTTGAATAAAAGTATTTTTATTACATTAAGACAAAAATACAACTTTTTAATATGTCAAAATAGGAGAAAGCTTAAGTAACAGCACATGTAAATGAACTGTTGAATCTAAAACAAACAGTACATTCTAAATCATTACAGAAAATAATACAATAATAAACTTACAATAAATTATGTGATTAATCTTATTTATTGCAACAACTTAAACTGTTATGGCACTTTAAATTACACAAAAGTCCCTTGCTTTTACAACTGCAGTTATTCGTGGAACACTTGTTTTTGCAATGACAGTGTGTATAGCCTTGCCCTCCACTTTTCGAATTAGCTGCAGCTGCTTCTCTCAGTGATATTTCTTGAGAAGAAATATCATCTATGGAAAGTAACTTTTCTTTATAAATTACGAATGCATTATGGGTATAAAGCTGCTTGAGGGTACATTTTTGTTTGTTAATTTATAAAAGTCAGAGTCTTCTATTCCAACAACAACCATCAACACATTTCGGGCATCTGTACTGCCACGGTCAACATCAGGGACTTGTATTTGTACGATATCNATACAGTAGAGCGTCGATTTTCCGAAAGTCAATCATCCGAAAGAATTCCAGTGGCAAACTTAAATTTTCGCCAGTGCTGTGTCGCTTCAATCTTTGGCTATGTCTTGGGCTACTCAAATATTTTCCGTTTTTGATACTAAATTAACATCTGAAGTATAATTATTTATTATTTTTATATTTTTCAATATATTTATTTTGTTTGTACAAAATAAAAAAATAATTTTTAACAATACAATAGTCTTTGTTAGGCTTAACATTGACGAAAATTCAACGCGAAGCAACACACAACGGAGAAAAATTTCGGCATCGGATACGTTAAACTATTTTTTCATATGTAAATCAGTTATCCGAAATATCAGTTATCCAGACAACCCCAGTCCCCAATTGATTCGGAAAATCGACGCTCTACTGTATGTAAAATAATTTTAAGAGTAAAGTATGTATTATTTGTAGTTACATTTTAATGTGAAAGTTTTGTCTTACATTGAAATTAAATAATAATGGATAACAAAAACAAATCATTTTTAATACATGTTGTTATATTAAACTTTAAAAAAATCATTTAGAGTATTTTGTCTTATAGCAGTTACTGTCTTCATTTCTACAATGTTTCACAGTCTCCTAAGCATCAGCCACTCATTCAGTACAGTTGAAATAAAAAATATTACACGTTCAATGCATTCAAGGCAAAGCTTTTTATGAATTGTAAGAAATGCACTGTATTCATTTACAGGTTCACTTGGTTAATTAGGGCTCAGATAATCAAGGATCTACTAAATCTATTGATTTAACTGAGGACTAATTGTATTAATTTTACAGAAATTATTTTTATTCTTTAAGAACTATTCAAGTTAAATTTCTTCATAGTAAAATTTCTATATAATGAAAAACTGAAAGCATGCTGTATTGTTTTTGAAACATTTCAATCATATAATTATTTAATTTCTTTTTAAGTAACATTAATAATTTTCTCTCTTAAATTCTGATTTTCATGATCAAAGTTAAATAAAACATTTATTTTTGTGCAATATTCTAGAAATGTGAAAATATTAATCAAATTCAGATTATTTTTAATGAAATAGCTACTTTTACAGTTATCAATAAAAAATTTTTAAAATAAAATAAACATATTAAAAATATTTACAATGATTTCCTCCTTTGGATCCAAATGACAAGAGAATGAGTACAACAAATGTGAAAAAAAGTGGAATGCAAGTAGCTGTATAGCTTAAACTACTTCCTCTGTCCAGTTTATTAGATAATAATACCTAAAACAAAATAATAATTGATTTAGAAAGCTAACAGCATTAAAATTAACTTTTAATAAATACCATTATCATACCAAAAAAATTAACAATGGCACTACTATCATACTGTAAGAAATTGCAGAATGTATACTGGTACGACGTTGTTCTGGACCAACTTCTGGTGTTCTTAATAAAATGCTTGCAAATATAATCGCATAAAGAACACCAATAACTGCCAAACACATAACTATCCACAAAGGAACAAATACCACCTAATAAATTATTCTTGTACCAGCTGAAACAGAAGGTGTACAGAAATGAGTGGTCTGTTAAAAATTGAGAACTGAAACAATGCATTAAGTCCATCCAAGTTCTGTCAATTTAATTCAGAGCACTTTCAAATTCTGATGGCTGGTCAAAACCATACTCAGAAAAGCCTCCAACTATTGATCAGATTCCATAATTTAGAGACAGAAGAAACTGTGTCAATTTTTGTTCCTGGATAATTATGTAAAAATAAAGAAGTTTGATTTATTTTTGTGTAAAGGTTTTGTTTACACAACCTTATGGTATCATTTTTAAGCCTCTTTTTATACCTTACAAGTTAGTAGATTATACATACATACATACACATTACTGTGAATAACCGATATCTGGCGAATGTCAACATTCTCCGGTGAATGTCAGCTTTCACAGTCATTTCGAGTATGTACAAAATATTTGCTAAATATCATTATTTCTCACTTACACCGGCAAATGTCAACATTCAGCATGCACTGATAGTGAATGTTGAATAAAAGTATTTTTATTACATTAAGACAAAAATACAACTTTTTAATATGTCAAAATAGGAGAAAGCTTAAGTAACAGCACATGTAAATGAACTGTTGAATCTAAAACAAACAGTACATTCTAAATCATTACAGAAAATAATACAATAATAAACTTACAATAAATTATGTGATTAATCTTATTTATTGCAACAACTTAAACTGTTATGGCACTTTAAATTACACAAAAGTCCCTTGCTTTTACAACTGCAGTTATTCGTGGAACACTTGTTTTTGCAATGACAGTGTGTATAGCCTTGCCCTCCACTTTTCGAATTAGCTGCAGCTGCTTCTCTCAGTGATATTTCTTGAGAAGAAATATCATCTATGGAAAGTAACTTTTCTTTATAAATTACGAATGCATTATGGGTATAAAGCTGCTTGAGGGTACATTTTTGTTTGTTAATTTATAAAAGTCAGAGTCTTCTATTCCAACAACAACCATCAACACATTTCGGGCATCTGTACTGCCACGGTCAACATCAGGGACTTGTATTTGTACGATATCACCAATTTGAGCAGAAGGAAACAGAGCAGAATTTGGCAACAGAATGTCGCCTCTCTGNTATAACCAAGCCATCACTCACCAAATTGTTCATCTAAATAATATCTTACATAACAGGCTAAATGGGGATGGCCCATCTTGCACCCCCACATTGTTAACATGCAATTTTAGAATTCTGGAAATGATTGCAAGAGCGTTTGGACATCACTGGAGCACAGTTGGAGGACTGGCATTGAATAACTAAGTTGCTATCAAACTTTGAAGTTTAAGTAAAATTTTACAACTTATTTCATGTTGATGTGACATTCCATCTGGATGATACAGTACTTTAAAATCAAGCAGGATTTAAAAAAAACACCTTATATAATAGAAAATTAAGTATTCACAGCAAAAAAATTTCAAAATTAGAAACTCCAAAACAATGAATGAAAATGAAACAAAATGAAGCTTTCTAAAATATTCAAATTCATAAATTTACTACAATAATGCACTAATATCTCTTGATGCACTTAATACTATCTAAATATAAATATAGTCAGCTTTTAATTCCATTTATATAATCATTAACTTCAATCATATGATAAACAACACTCAGCCTGTGGATCACATGTGACTTGTGAGGTCCTAACATATGGGACTTTGGCAATATAAATAATTTTTCCATTTTCTGCCTTATGCCATTATGCAACCTTAAGCTGACATTTGTGAAGAAGAGCATTAAAGCTAAACTTGAATAGTGAAAAGATGGGAATAAACTATATTACTAGTTTGCATATCATTAGCGTAAATTATTTTAATACCTAGTGTACTGATGGTTATGGATTATGTTGGTACTCAGCAGACTTAAAACCTGCAACTCCATAAGAAACAAAGCATGTGGCCACCAGAAGCCTATGAAGTTTACTTGTGGTCCATATCATCATTCATTTAGATGAAAATATCACATTAACTGCTGTAATATATTTGTTTATTCATTATTAATGTCATATAATGAAAATAATCACTTTTACATTAACAGAAATGTATAATCATTTAAAATACTCCAAAGCACTAATTAAGATTAGTGCTTCAACACGAATGAAATTAGAGAAAATTTTAAAATGTAGAGTTTCCTATTAGAATTAACAATTTTCTGGATTTGATTATAAGTTATAATTGTGATTTAGCTATTTATGTTATCATGTGTTTTGAGTCTAATTATTTGGCAGTCTGTTCAAATTAATAATTTGTCATATTTTATTATTTCTCAGATAATTCAGATCAATGATTGAAAAAATGTTAGTTGGATAACTTTTTCTCAATATCTTTCATTCATTTGATTAAAGTTTTCTGGATTTCCAGAATGTTATTTTGTCAAAAGAATTTTGATATTGCCTATGAGATATTCTGCCATTTACTACTCAGAAATTTCTTCCTTTTAAAATAAAAATAAACACAACACATAAATCATAGTGTACTCCTTTTATTAAAAAACATAAATATATTATTTGTAAACGGTAGCAAAAATAAAAAATATCTGGCAATCCTTACTTTTTATTTATCATACACAAAAGAGAAATTAATGTAAAAGTAAACATCTTTATCTGGCTTAGTAAACACTAGTATTGTGTTGTATTCCAAAGACACATGGAAAGTTTTTCCATCAGATATCTTTATTAGTTGAGTCGATACAATACATTGTTTTGTACTCATTTCGAGCCGAAACGAGTACAAAACAATGTACTGTATCGACTCAACTAATAAAGATATCTGATGGAAAAACTTGCCGTGTGTCTTTGGAATACAACACAATACTGGTGTTTACTAAGCCAGAATTATAGAACAGGACACGGTTTCAAAAAAGAAAACAAACATCTTTATATTAAGTATTTTCAGATTATGATTCAATAATTTGGTTATCGTTCATGTACTTTTTAGATATTTTAATCTAAATTTACTTAATAAAAATCAACTAAAAACCATCAATATTCAGGATAATTCAGTTTATAAGATTTGTCTGCAGTTAAAAAAATAAACCAAAAAACTAAACCAAATGATCATTGTAATTAATGGGCTATTTTTTGCTACTATTAATAATTAGAAGTGATTCAGTATTACAGGTAGATGTTAGGTGCCATCTCTTATCAAAATGAATAATTATAATAATTTAATAGTTATTAAATTTATAACAGTCTAGAAGAAAGGAATCGGTTCAGAGCAGGATAAATTATGGCAATCGTTTAGTTTAGTATTAACCAAACAATTGCCATAATTTATCCTGCTCCAAAACGAGTGGAATTTGGGATGTTTATGTATACATATACTTTTTTTTTTAAATCAATGAATTTTAAACTTGATGCTACTTTTAATGAAGTCTTACAGGCAATAACAGAATTATCTATTGACAACAATAGTTTGGATGATATTCCAGCAATATTTTATAAAAACATTAAACCTATTAAAAGTTTATTTAGAATGTTTGTTTATCCTGAATAAAAGCTATTTTATTCAGGATAAAGCTATTTTACAGCATATAAGATACACACTTCAGCACAGAATATTTCATATATTTATGTTATCCTCTGCCTTTAGCATCTCATCTCCAAAAGTTTTTCACTGTATTTTGGATTAGAACTTTTTAGTTCTAACCCAAAATAAATAAAACTAATTAATATTAAATTTTCCAGCTATAACAAATTGAAAGTTTGTAAAAAAAGTGGTTATAGTGTAGGTAATAAAATGTACAGTACACCATACACAATTTTCCAGCAAGTAGAGTTTGTGGAACAAATGTTTTTGGTTTATTTTATAAACCTCTGTAAGGTTTATATGCATGGTGTGCATTTTATTACTTGCACTATATCCACTTTTTTTTTACAAACTTCCAATTTGTTGTAGATTATGGCTTCTCAATTTGAGAAATTTTTGCCCCTTCCTTAATTATGAAAATTGTAAAAGCCTTGTCAAAGGTTTACTTCCTCTTCAACAAGACTAGACTGTTTGTCTGCTTCTGATTCTCATGATGCTTTATGTTCAAGATTAAAATTTAGTGATATTTATGCAAGATTAATATAAATGAATAAATGCTAATTTCAGGAAGCCAATGTCTATTAATTAAAAGAAATGTTTTCAGTCAAGATCTGACCATCCCCAGCTTAATCTAAATACTATACTAGAGATGGGCATTTTCAATCTGCAAATACTTGAATATTAGGAAATATTTGAGATTTCAAATATTACATTGATAAAAAAAAACTTTGAATTCTGTGAATACTCCCAATATTGCACCATATGTACAGTAATAACAGCAGATCCAAAAGTACCAAAGAGGGGCTAACTTAAACATTAAAAATATTCAAATTGACAAGCACCTTTTAATAATATGTATATAACAATTGTATTGCAGATGGTCCAATAAATTCTGCCATCAAAAATGTTTTTAAAAACATTTTGAAGATCAAACAAATAAATTTGAAATTTTTTTTGTCAATGGTTCCCTTTGTATCCACCAATGCATACAATTAGAATGTCTACAGCACTTTTGGTTTAATTTCTGACAAGAAAGGAAGCTGACTAGATCCTGAACATTTTCAAATTCTTGTTTTCTTAAATAAAAATCTGTAGTAGGTGGAATGAGAACAATTATTTTTTAATCTATTGTAATTTATCTAAATTACAATAGACTAGCTGTACCCGCCCATGCGTTACTGTGGCTCAAAATGTATCTATTACAAATGTATAACACTCCCTGTGGAAGGGATTTCAAAAAATCCTTTCTTAGTGTACATTCTCTTGATGTACCCTATAAAAACGCAAAAAAACTGCATCTAAAATAGTATAATAGAAGCCGAGTTCTTCATGGTAAGCCTTAATCCTGTCCTCCTACCCCACCGGGGGGATTTTGACATCTGTATAATAGACAAGTTCGGACATGTGCACTGCATATCTCGCCAACCACACGACTGTGCCACGCAGTTACCTATCTCGTATACATACATGTCTTGCCCCTCGCCACCCACTGACACCAAAAATATAATGCTTACTTAGATGATATCTTTTAATTTATATGAATGTTTAACAGAATAATATACAGCCTATGTCCATCCTGAAGGTCCATTCTAAATATTGGTGAAAGAATTTTTGAAATCGGATGAGTAGTTTTGGAGATTACCTACTAATCCAAACCTACGAACTTTACCTCTTTATAATTTTAGTATAGATAAGAGTATAAGAGATTTCAAAACTCAAAGTCAAAATTAAAAGTTTGGCATTTCATTTATTAAGAATTTATAAATTGTTTTTCTTTTTACTTTTTATTGTACTTTATTAACATACTGAAATAAACAAGTTAATAATTAATGTTAAATAAATTATTAACTAAATAAGTTATATAAGGTAATCAAGTTCAGTAGTATCAGGGGTATTGATAATGCTATCTGTATTAAAATTAAAATAAATAAAAGATTAATAATTAAAATTAGCACAATAATACTGTAATTTAATAACTAAACTTTGTTCTGAACATTTGATTTAAAATTTCTGAAACAAACTGTTGTAGAAATTTGTGTTAGAATTTGTAAACAAATAAAAATTGCAATTAAATAAATATCTGTAAAAGGTAAAAATTAAAGACATTTAAATAAATAAAATTATCATTTATCAAAGATTTTTTCATCTGGATATTTATTTGAATACATTGAAGAAATGGATTATTTTTAGATTTCTTAAAAACAAAATTAATTAATTTTCAAGATTTTAAAATTTAGTTTTTTTATACGCAAAATTAATCATAAATAATCCTATTAAAGTTTTAAAAAAATAAAATCAAAGTATTTAACTTTATTTTTTTAATTTTTGTATCCAAATTAAAGGCAATAATTTTAAACAAAAATAAAATACAAAAATGTTAAATAAATTACATTTATTTACAAATAAATTCAGAGCTTGTTTTCTAATTTTTCTTCAGTTCTTTAGTTTTAAATAATGAGCTGAAGTACAGTACATGTACTATATATAAATATAAAACATATCTTATTCAACATATATACATAGGATGCAATTACATTTTATTGGAAACAATTAGGATAATGACATCAATATACTGTTAAGTAAATGAGCATAATATTATTAATGCATTTACACTTTTTCTCATAGAGTTTATAAAAAAGATCTGTAATAAAATTTTGGTAATAGGGAAAAATTAGTTGATTATTTTATAGATTTTAGCAATGAAGCTATAAAATATATGGAATAGTGTGATGAATTTGGAGATAATAGAAAATAGTTGAAATAGTCAATGGTTTTTAAATGAAGTTAAGGAATCAAATAAACTGATCTACAATTTCTGATTTTTTGATTATATAAAAATGTTATATGAAAAAATATTTTCATGTGTACCATTCAATGACAGAAAAATGAAATAAAAATAACATGAAATATCTATAACCAATTCTACAAATTTTATTATAATCAACATATAATTTTTAAAATGAATTATGAAAAACTACTTGAACAGAAAGTACATTATACATAGATATCAACAGAATGAAATAATGTAAAAGTGATAAATGAATGATTAAAAAAAGAACAATTATTATATTCCATGACAAAGAAAATATCTATTATTATTTGTAATAAAGAAATAGTCCATGACTATTAACAGCAAATGTTAAAAATTGCAGTCATATTCCCCCCCCTCAGAATTAAGTATGATTATATAAGATTTGATCATTCATTGTTCTTTTCTGCAGAGAAACTTAAATATTTTTTTGTTCTACTATTTTTATGTTATTCTTATTAACAGATGTACTAAAATGTTGGGCTAAAAGATCTTATTTAACTATTTAATGTTTACATTAAAAATATTACTGGATAATGAAAATGTTAATTATTTGGTTGTCTTAATATCCAGTTAAGGTCCTAAATATTCTTGCTAAAAGATAAGTGCATCAATAAACAATCTGGTAATGAAGGAAAAATTCATATTAGACATCAAATATCAATAGTTTTATGCCGTTCATGGTAAAAAGTGGCTTATCCTCACTAGTAGATCTATTGCATCTGAAAAAAAGAATCTATTGATTTATCTGTTGTTTCCACCAACATGTTTCTAGGCTTATGTTATATCTACTAACCAGAGGTTTTCCATCTGGTTTGTAGACATGGCATTGTCATCAAATCAATCAAAGACTTTCTTGCCATAGAGAAAAATAAATGACTGATATATTAATGTATTTGGGTGTATATATTAATATCATTTATAATAATCTGATAATAGCATGATATATGCAAACATATAATTTACATTGTTCTTGTCAGACATACCAATATGCCAACACTATCTCTGGAAAATGATTTAAAAAAGGAAAAAAAAATATTTTTAATCAATGAATCAAAAATCATAATCATTATTACAAAATGCCATAAAACAATGAAACATTGAAGTATTCATGCTTTACTACATTATGATATTGATACAATGGCATTAAAAATATAAACAAATACAATAAAACTTTATTATAAGGTCACTCCATGCCAAGAGATCAAGTCACCCACTGACCTTCTCAGATTTTGCTCAAATTTGGTGTGTAGCTTCCTGAACTAACTAAAAGAATTTTATGTCTCAGCATGTAATATTTTGGTTATAGGAGCTCCTTAAATGGAAGTATTCAAAATGTTGCAAAAGCAATTTGAAACTTTTTTCCATTTTTAGCAGCTAGTTTTCTGAACAAATCATCTCAGGAAGTCTTCTTTTGTGAGATTGTTCACTACATGTCTGTTAATAGTCTGGAAATTTTGTTTTGTAGCCTCTAGTTTGGAAGCTATTTCAAGATCAACATAATTCTAAAACTTTAGTAGTATATTTTGCTGATTTCTGAAGCCCATTATCCAGGTGGTTTATTCCTGTAGCCAGGAATAAACCATTGGAGAGCTAGAATAATAAATGAAGGGGTAAGCTAAAAAATTTGTATAGGTCTTTAAATAGGCCCAATAATACACACATGAACACCTACACAAACACCTTCAACTTTATCATTTTAATTTTTCCACTTTTCCAAGCTTGTTATGGATGATTATTATTAATTTTATCAGTTAAGAATAGAGGACTCTCCAAATACGGAGAGTCTTCCAAATGAAATATCTCCAAAACTAGAGAACTACAAAACATGCTTTATTAACAACCATCTAGTCAAAAATCTCAAAAAAGACTTTCCAGAAATGATTTGTTCAGAAAATCTAGCTGCCAACGTTTTGTTGCAACAAGTGTTTTACCAACTTTGATTGCAACTGGTAAGAAGAGAAATCAAACTTTAATCCTTCAAATCCATGCAATTTACATCATACATGCATAGTAAACTAATGCATCAATTTTCAAGAAAATATCAATCTTATTTGCTGAATAGCAGTATGCCAAATATGGAAAATGGAAAAAAATTTCAAACAGCTTTTGTGACATTTTGACCACTTCTAATTAAGGGGCTCCTACAACTGAAGTATTGTATATTGTAATATAAGATTTTATGGTATTTTATTTGGTTACTTTAGGAATCTACATACCAAATTTGAGGAAAATCTAAGATGGTCAGGTAAAACAACTTCATCCCTTGACATGGAATGACCTATATAGATACTGTGAAATAATCATTGTGGTTCTCAAGATTATTATACATATTTAAATTGTTATGTGGCAAAACTAAAAATTATATAGATAATAAACTAAAATTTACAATTATTTTAATATATATTTCCCTGTATTTTAATATTATATATATTTTTTGTATAAATACATATTAATGACATAAAAGTTCTCAAGATTATTATACATATTTAAATTGTTATGTGGCAAAACTAAAAATTATATAGAGAATAAACTAAAATTTACAATTATTTTAATATATATTTCCCTGTATTTTAATATATATATTTTTTGTATAAATACATATTAATGACATAAAAATTCATATTTCCTATATATAAATTACAGGTTAGTTGCTTTAGCAAGATCAACTTAATTGAATATAAAATAGATGATGAGTAATTTATACTTACAACCCAATTCCATACAATAAAGTCATCTAGCCTCAATGCTAAAAATATAAATTGAAGAATGTTGACTGAGCAAAATAATTCCATCTATAAATAAAAATATGTTAATATGAGTTTTAAAACATAAATATTAAAATTAGTCAAATAATGTATTTCATTTGATATTATATGTTGTTTTATTATTCTACATTAAAAAAATTACTAATATACTTTATCATATTTATATTAATTTTTTGCTTAACACTATATCTACAATAAGAATTTATCATTGTTTTTTTTGTCTCATTAANAAGAATTATGTAAATGTGAGGCACGAATGAAATTCAAAATTTTGGCGTTAAATCGTTAATGAATATCCGATAGGACAGTTATTAAACTCTCACCTTTAAAAAATAAAAACCGACACAAAACTTAACGAGTGCCCAACAGTCTCACAAAGACTATAAAAAATTATTTGTCAGAAAGATAAACAAAAAGCTGAAATTACAATGGAGAGTTTCAAAGTTTGGAGGAATAATATCTGATTGGTATCAGGTTGAGTGTCTCCCGCACTCTGAAAAGTTTCAAATTGTTACCTGGAGACAAGGGAAAACAAATCGGTATTCATTATTTAATGCCACTTCTTTTCGTGCTTGTTCTGTTGTTCAAACATAAAAATCTTTCGCAAAAGTGTGTTATCTGATTTGTTTGCTGTCCGAACTGTTCATTAACCAATCACCCACTGTATAGATTAATAATCAAACTTGAAATAAAAGATGTTTTATCAAATATCTATCATTATCACATAATAGCTACTCATATGATTTATAGGAAATATGCACTGTACATATGGAAGTCAGACAACAAAGAACAATGACTAATTAGAAATTTTAAAATGGCAAATGATCATTAATACAAACAATTGTGGTTGAAAAATATTCATTTATTTAATGATGATATAGGAAATGTCTTGTAAACAATATGTGCCACTCATATAACAAGTATAGGAGAAAGCACAAGTGTACAAAATATATTCCACGTAATTTTAATATTTTCTTTCCTTGGGTATAATGGTTATATTATATTATAATACTGTAATGTCAGTTACATTTAAAAGAATGTTTTTGCAATATTAAAAATATACTTGAAGCATTTTATTTCAATTTTATACTAATATATTTTTCTTAGATTAAAAATTGATCTTTTATCATCACATTTTACAATATATAACTTTTTTTTTTATTGTACTTAGTATTTAAATTTTTAATGTGCTCAGTTTTGATAAAAGGCTCTCAATAAAGATTCTGGTACAAATAATTTCTTTTTTTAGTTTAACTTAAATGAAATGTGAAGATGCTATTATATTAATATTTTAATATAACTGACATAAAAAGTTTAATAAATAATAAAAATACATACAAAATAAAGAAAATATTTAAAATCAACATTAAAAAAATATAACTAACCTCAAATGACCTGTCATGTTTTACTGCCCAAATGCAAACAGCCACAGAAACAACAGAGATAAATATCAGTGGTATAAATACAAGAATCCACAAATGACGACTGTTTTCTAATTTATCACAAACTAGCAATTCAAACATCAGCAACAATAACTGGAGTGCTAAACTGATTAACATTGCTTTATAATGTACATAACCTTCCCCTTCAATTCTAAAAAAGAAAATATAATTATTCATTAAATTTCAAACAATTAAAATATTTTTAAATACAATGTTAAAAACTAATATATCTAAACCTCATAAAATAATTATCATCTCATAAAAAGATATGTTTAAAAACTTTAATAAAAGTGAAAATCCCTTAAAAAATGTCAACTTTTATTAAAATAAGTTATCAACTAAAGTTATCTCTTGTTGCTTATTTCACATTTGTGAAGCATAGGTATTGATTTGAGAAAACGTTATCTACTTTTTATTTTTAATGGCAAATGTAATTCCAATTAAGTTTTTTAAAAATTATCCTGAGAAGTTTAAATTAAATATATAATTTAATTTGTCACTTCAGACTAATAATGTTAATGCTTACTGCAGGAATGGTAAATATGTGATAGGAAGAAAGAATTCAGGTGACAAAATAAAACAAACTGTTCTTATTTAATCTTCACACGTGTCAGAGATAAACAGGAAATTAATTTTTGTGATTTCTGATAAAATGAGAGATTAAACAAACTTTGGAAATACAATGCACTCTTACTAATCTAAATTAATTATTGTTGAAATTGTTTAGATTAGTAGGATTATAAAGAAATAGAAGTCAAAAAGAGCTACTGACAAATCATTATAAAATTTATTAATTATTTATATAATTACAAAAATTCTATTCCTTAAATTTTAAATGATTCATATTCATAAAAATGAAAATGTTATTAAAATTCCAACAGATTAGTGTTTTGTTTAATATACAAAATTTCCTTGAATCTAAGATGCACCTTTTTACCTATTTTTGCTTGTCCAAAGTACAGGTTTGGACAGTTTAGCATAAATGCTGTTTTGCAGTACAAAATAACAATCAGTCATCATAAATAGACAGCATGTTGCACTATACATCAATCATAATAGTTTTGGTTATATTGCTCATCTCTGACCACAGTTCAAATCAGCTTGGTTGATAACAAGAGTTAATTTAAACTTTTTAAATAAATATCCTAGCAGTAAGTAAATATGTGAGCCTGTTGGCCTTATTGTTATAATCATCAGATATTAAGCATTAATTAAAGAAATTGGAAAGGTGTGTAATAAGTCTGATAATTATAACAATATGGCAAGCAAGATCACAGTGATTTACTACTAAGGTATTTAAGAAAATAACAGACTAAAAGCTTATATTGAATCAGTTTTATATTTAAAATGCCTTTGAGACATGAGGATGCAGCATTAAAATTATAGTTATTATACAGTTTATACAGGAGAGCATGGAAATATAGTAGTGACTAAAACTACCTAATATTATTTATTTATGGAATTTGTATTGATTTTCTAACTTATTATTTAATAAAATTGATTACTTAAAAATTTTTAATTTCATGCAAACTTACAATGCATGTTAGAATCAATTTTAAGACGAATCATGCAATCAATGGGTTCTTAAAATTAAATTGAAATAAGATATATATTTAAATATTTTTAAATATTGTATTTAGTATATATACTCATGTTAAAATATTTATTTCTTAAATCTGTAAACTTGTCATGCCTTTAAAAAAATCCAGCAACAAGTTGCTTAACTTTCCTTGCAACATTTAAAACTGCATGTCTGGCACTCTGTTATGATATTTTATTATTAAAAACTTTTTATATTTTTAATTATTATAAAATGGCAAAATCCTCAATTTTGAGGGTAAGAATGAATTCTATAAAAAATCGTAAATGTTAATAACAAGTTAAATCTTCATTAAGTCCGATCCTACTCGAGATATGACACACGACCCCCTATTTCTCCCCACTCCTTCAACCTTTAACCACCAAAATTTAACACCATCACTGCCCCTAATACACAAATCTTTCTGCAAAATTTCAGAAAATTTCAACAAAAGGCACAGGAGGTATTAAGCTTCAAAGTGAATGAACAAAATTGTGCCACATACACACACTAACATCCATGAAGAGTAAGTAATCATTATATCTTGCAGAAGTATTGATTTTGACTTTTTTAAAACACTGGACTAAATCCAACAATTAATAATAAATGTAAAAAATTCTTTACATCAAAAACAAGATTACATTGTAACTTTACAGAAATTTTAAAAAAGTATGCACAATTTCCTATTTCCAAACATAAAAAGTAAATCTAGCAATGAGTTGCATAACTTTTCCAGCTGTTATGGGTTTTTATTTGAAAAAAAAAAAACTTATATATTATTAAGCAAAATAAACAAAATTGTATGGCACCATCTGTTATGAGATTTTGTTATAAAAAACTTTTTACACTTTTAATTACTATACAATGCAAACACTTCAATTTTGAGGGTAAAGATGATGAGTTCTATAAAAAAGTATAAACGATGAATAAAAGCTTCATTAAGTCCTACCCCTCTTGAGATATGACGCATGACAACACTCTATCTCCTCACCCCCTCAACCTTTAACCACCAAAATTTAATAGCAACAATGCTCCTCATAAATAAGCTACCATGCCAAATTTTGTTTCTTAATCTTTACCCTATCCTGAGATATTAAATGAAATAGATGCCAATACATACACACAAAATATTTTTGCAGGTTTTTTTTTTTTTTGACTTTTTGGATCCAGGAGGTCTCAAGACATGGAGATTTGCAAAACATTCAAGGGTCAAATTGACACAATTCCAATATTTTCCCTTGTTATGTATACATAATAGCCAGGAAAGTAAAAGACTACTAAATAAAAAAATTGATTACATTTTAGCTAAATATGGATGCAGAATTGTTTGTTAAATTAAATTTTAGAAAATTTATTAAATTTCTTACTTCAAAAACTGAAAAATAAATGGTAATACATAATAATATAATTACATACATATCCTCGTGCTCATAATCCAAAAAGGATAAGCAGCAGCAGGCAAAAGATATTTCACATTAAATTTAAAATTTTAAATAAACTACAGTTGTCCCTCGATAATCTGACAGGTATGGGACCAAAGGTGTGTCGGATTACCAAAAGTGTCCGGATTACCGAAAATAATTACATATTTCGCATTGTTTTGCTAGCAGTAACTTACAATATTCTCTACTCCAACTGTTTGAACAGAACTGCTCGCATAAAACACACGAAATGTGTGTCATCGAGTAAGAATTGGATGGGGAGATTCACATCGCAACATGCTTCTGTGCAAGCAGACATGTAACGGGGACGGGTACCTTGATGGGAGGTGTGTCGGACTACTGAGCATGTCGGATTAAAAAACGTCGGACTATCGAGGGACAACTGTAATTATCATATATTTTTCAAAAATTTATTAGAATTTTTAAACCTATATGTTTCCAAAATGCATATAATTGTATACTAAAATTCTTATACAATTTCTTTTTGAAATAAAATTTTCATCTTATACAATGGTGCTCTCTGCAGAGGTCAAAGCAATGTTGCTTCCTGGAGCACACTTTCCAGCATAACAACTCATGAATAGTCATATATGGTTAAACCTTCCTTATGCAACTTCCTTTCAAAATTACCTCTAATTTTACATTACAGCATCAGTTACATTTTTATGTATAAAATTGATTAAAAATTAAGATTGATGTCTACATAAAAATTTTGCATTTCTGGCTTTTGTCATATTTTAGATCAAATTTTGCTTTTAAATTCTTAAATAAATTGAAATGTCACAACTGACGTTAAACAAACTTCATTTTGCCAACAAAAATTTATGTATTGTTTAAACAATACATAAATAATGTTTTCATGAACCAATGAGATAAAACAATCATGGTGCAAGGTACAATGTTGCTCCTGCATTCTTGTTTTACACCACTTCATAAATGCAAGTTACTTACTTTAAGCCTAATGCTTGGATACACACAGGCTATTTGCATGCTACCTGGAGGTCAAACAGACATCACGTGGTGTTATAAAGAAAACAATATGATCATTATAGGTGAGGTAATCTCCTAGCCATCAGTACATGCAATATGTTATAGCCTGTAAAAATAATATCAATTATTAATTTATGTGATAATTTGGCATAGATTGGGGGATTTGCCATTAATTGAAGGAGAAGCAGTTTTGAGTTCAAGTCATTGTCATGTGGTATTAATAGAAAAAATAATTCAGAAATTTCTGCAGTATGTCAACAAACATCACAGATCAAAAGCCAGCCACACACTATTAAGATTTATATAGAATCTAGTAAGTAACAATAAAGATATGTAACTAAGCAAGATGCTTTTCTGGACATAATGTATAATTTCAGATATAAAAGACTTGATTTACATATGTAACTACAAAGTTAGTGTAAAGGTTAAATGTATGCCTGTTTACTATATATTAATCTGTAAGTTTATCTTGCAAAATAAGCATTAGTAAAATTCTACTTTATATAATCATTGAAAATTTTGACTTGACTTGTTTTTATCCCAAATTGCTAACTATAAAATATTGTTTTTATAGTTAGTATTATATTAATGGCACATATTAATATAGTAATAATCAATAAGAAATATTAAGTACAATACTTTAAATCTGTAAAGAACTAACAAGTTATATAACTTAATTGGAGAAGATCATCAAGGGTATAATCTATACCAATAATTCTAGATTAACAGAATGTTTTTACTTTTGTGTATGTCAGAGTAGTCATCATAATATACTTTACAAGCTGAATTCTAACCCAAACTATAGTAGTTACAAAGATTGATATTGTTGTTTTGACACCCATATAGCCATGTTTCTAATGTGTTTAATTCACACATTGGCTTGTTTCCTATTTCAAGATTGTTATGAATAAATGGAAGAATGTACCATTGTAAAATAACATAGAAAGGCATAAAAGTTTTAAATTGTCTTCTTCCAAATTCAGGCTGTTGCCAAAGTTGAAATCATACATTTTACATTGGCAACAATTACCAATCATATAACCAAAATTACTATTACCAGAAATGTTTTAATTTCTAAATAAATTGGTCATACAATCTTATCCCACTTTCCTTTATTATTCCATATTAATATTCTTAATT